ACAAAATCATAGGTAAAAAGCCTAGTGCTTATAATTCCATTGAATTTACTTTACATAAGTCCATTCCCTACTTACAACAAACTACTGTCAATAAACTTTTCTTAGCCAATCGGCCTCCTTTCGGTAATTATCAGGTTGGAGACAAATTAGCCATAGATGTAGATAGAACTAGTTTACGATTTCCTAATGCTGAACAAGGTAAGATATGAACTGATAATGCAGTAGTGGCTAGGGTGGTGAATGATAAACAGCCATCTTCTCACCAAAGTGTTTATAGTAGTGAGGAGTTTAGAGATGGATGAGTAGAAGAGTAAAATAAACCCAAAAAGTTATTAGTGATTATTCACTTTGGACCCTTTTATTGGAGTATGAGCCATATTAATCAATCATTTAATTCTCTTTTCAGTGCCATAATAAGTGGGATTTTATAAGTTTAATATTTTCTGAATATATTCCTCATCTAGTAAACCCTCTTTCAGTTTTTTAACCAAAAGAATATCGGTATCTTTAATTTTCAAATCCTCTGGGCTTAAAGTTTCTGGTTTGTGTAATAAAGTATCTATTAAAGCCAATTTATCCGCTAAATCCTTTGGTAATGCCATATACCTTTATTTTAGGCAATTAGACCTAAAATAACTTATACTATGAAATCAATTATAATGAACAAGCCCAAGGGTGGTATAAATGTAATGGTGGTTGTTTAGAGGGTTATTTAAGACCAATATCTTTTAGCCAAGTAAAAGGTTATTGTCTTGATGATGGTCGGGGTATTAGGATGTATTGTGTTCTTTGCTCCCAATGTAGTTCTTACTAATTTTCTAGGAAACAAGAGATAGGTTTTTTTCCACTATTAGCAACTATTATGAAAAGCCAAGAAATAAAAACCCCTGAGTTTATAAGGTATGAGGAGGAGAGAATAAGGATCCAGCAAGAGCAAGAAAGAAAATACCAGCAAGAGTTTAAAAGTGAGTTTAATTGTGATAAATGCTCCAAGCCAATTCGTATTACTGAGGAGAGAGAACATTGTTTTATCAAACATTTTGAAAACTCCTCTGTTATCTCTGATATTAATTGGTGTATCTTTTGTCCCTCATGCACTAGTAATTATACTAGGGATTTTGGTGATATCAAAACCGACCCAGAAAAAACAAACATAAGGACAACACCGACTTTTGAAAGATACAAAGAATATAAAGAAAGATTAAAAAAAAAAAAAACCTAACCACTTAAACTCATGCCACTCCCATAAGTCTTAAAAGTTAGGTTAAAAGTATCTCAATATTTTTTTGGTAATAAGGGTCGGACATTCTGACAAAGATATTTTTCTCTTTCTAATTTTAAAGGTTCGGGTTTCAAAATGGTAAACATCGCATCTTTAATTTTTCCTCTTTCTCTACTATCATCTTTTAATAAATTAAACTCCTC